TTTTTTTTTTTTTTTTTTTTTTTTTAATTTTTGCATGCACTATGAGACTTGTATATCTCCTTTTTTCAAATATTGAAATTTGTAATTAAAATGACTGTCGCTATAAACGCCAGAGAAGATTTATGACATATTTGGAGCAACTAATGACTGAGAAAAGATGCTGTAAAAAAAAATCATATTTTTTAGTTGAGTCAACTTTTTTGCAACAGAATTTTGATTCAAGTCTTTTAAGTTGCAAAAGTATAATATCAAAAATTAGAAAAAAAAATTGGCTGCAAATTGATCGAAGAAATCTCCCATTGCAAAATAATGCGGTAAGTGAGATACAATTTGCATAAAAACATTTGATTCAACTTTAATTAAATTACGATTCTTTTCACATTTTCAAAGTCACAATTGTAGCAAAATTATTATAGTAAAACCTTTAACAGATGCGTCCAGATTTGCGTGTCGTGTTGGGATTGAACGGGTACAGCGCCCAGCACGGCATTCTTGTAGTCTTCGCGCATTGTGGGCCGGGTGTCAGGGAATGCGAGTGCCACCAGACCTAGGCAGACGCTCTTCAGTTGGCCGGACAGCATCGTCAATTCGGTAATGGTAAATGGCATAGCGTGCTGCTGTCGATTATCGGACGTCTGGTCTGTGGAGGTTTGTTCAAGGAAGAACTCGGTGTCGTGCAGCGTCGCGATCAGCAGGCTAAATAATGAACAAAACACCGCCAGTAGCGGGACTATCCTGTTGGTGTCCTCCGTTGAGAGTGCAATCCCGCGCGATATGATCTGCAGCAGGGGTGTGGGAGTGTTGCTGCTGAACAACGACGTTTGGCGAACTGACAACAGACTCGTCCACAGATGCTTGAGGAACACCGGTTTAAAAGCGAGCATGTAGAGCAGCTTGTACTTGTGCACGGCCAACTTGCTGGTCATGAGTAGATGATGACACAGTCTGCACAACGGTTGCAACAGCACGGAGGGATCCTTATGACTGTGCTCGATCGCCGATAGTATGATATTCACACGCTGCTGCTCGTTCAGCATCTCGATGCAATGCTGCAGGACGTCAATCTGTTCCTGATCAGTTATACTAGCCTTGGTATCGTTGTCTGAGTCGTTATCTGCCTGCTGACATTGTTGCTGCTCTGAGACGCTCCATGCGCTGTTCAACGACACAATAGTCGAGCTGAGAGACGCAAATACTTGCAGGTAATTTGTCAGCACATCTTCGAATTTGCACGATACTATAAAAATACGATTTATCATGAGTTCGATAAATAAGTTTAATAAATTTGACAAGCTATTATTATTATAAATATATATATAAGAAAAAAACAATAACTAATAGTTAACAGTTAATACTTTATTCGAAAAATTTGTAGAATTTTCATGTCTTTTATTTCAAAAAACGTTACAAATATTTCAGATGACCTAACAGATTCTTCTTGATCTTACTTACCAAATTGATTGGACGAATCTAACGATAAAACGCAGTAAAACAGATTTATCGTAGGCTCCAGCTGGAGCCGGTTAATGCAATCGATCAACTGAGCATAGGGAAAGTCTCTGAATTCCGCCAACGCCGGCACGATAAACATGCGAATCGGGTCCGACATTTTAGGCGAAAATATATTCCTGCACAGTTCGCGCAACACAAGAGTGGAAAAGCTCTCCTTGCGATCCACATGAGAAATCAGATCCACCGGTCGTTTGATCATGTCAAGCAGACATTTGGAGATCGGCGTGCGAGCGACCGATGTTGCCTCTACCATTGGTGGCACTTTCTCGTCCAGCAGCTTTCTCAATTGCTCGAAGTACTTGTGCTGAATCAGGTAAACGAATATACTTTCTAAGTGTCGGTAACTATTCTCGCGCAGTACTCTCTCCGTGTCTTCGCGCGCAGTGAACACCTCTAGAACTCGCAACGGTATTGCCAGTGAATACGCACTGTCTGGTAACATTTCTGTGGTGTATCGCATGCACATACAAAGCGTCCATCTGCAATTCGAATACACCATATTTTATTATTTAAAATATTATATAAACTTGATATTTTAAAGCAATTTTATTCTACAACTAGCTTCTTTATACAATAATTTGCACGCAATGTCTTGCAAAATTTCAAATAATTACAAATTTCTTACATACTTATATACTGATGTTGTTTTCTATAAAAAAAAAACTAGTTTTCTCTAATTTTATATAAAAATATTTTATATACTTTCCTGTTATTTACTCTAATTACTTGCAATATCTATTGTATAAAAAAAAAATTTTAATTTATTACATTAGCCTACCGCAATCTCCATAGCCATTGCGACGAATTTATCGACTTCAATTTGATCTCCTTCTGGTGCTTCAAAAAGTGTTGTAAGACCCATATTAGTCTGTTGGCATCCAACGTATGATGATAAAAATACAACAACTTATTTAGATAAGGCACCAGTTCTTCCAGATTCAGATTTCTACGTCCTGCTGCCTGTTGTGCCTCATCAAACTCTTGCCTCATTTGTGCACATACTAGCTTTCTAATAACAAAACCACGTATATATGCCTGTATCTTTACAGCCGCATTGTGTTTCTTGCGCTGCTGTTCCCTCTTTAATCTCTCTAGTTGCGCATGTTGTAAAAGAACAGCTCTCTCGTCCCGCTTACTGGCACCTGACAGATTTTGTTGTGGCTTACGCCTATAGTCCCCTTCAAAGCTATACATGCTGAATCATGATCAGTTGTCAGATTGTTTTAATCCTATTTCTGAAATATATGTCAAATTATATATGTAAAATTACTATATATACACATATGTATGTATGTTATATTAGTTTTATAATAATTTATTATGTACACCAAGCATTTTAGGTTTAACACTTACTTTTTATGCAAATTAAAGATGACAGATATGATACAGCACTACAAATAAGTAAAGTAGTTTTCACGTCCTTGAAGCAGAGTAATGAGACAATTTGCTTAATAAATTTTCATATTTTTTCTCTATCACAATTTCTTCACAGCGCGTATAAACAGATAATAAGTTTTTTCAACTTTTAAACTTTGTCTGCCCTTTGCAAAAGGTTAAACTATATTGAACGTTCTCAATTCTCAATGTCAATTCAACACACGTCGTAATATTGTATGAATTTCAGTGAATTGTGACAACTTCGTTTTGTCAAGACGGACGGGAACGACGACTCGTGGTGCAACCGTGTGTGACCCCTTATATACGTCTAGTCATCGAAGAGCTCGCCATGTTTTGTCGTCTTCACGAAACTAATGCCGTCTGCTTGCTTGATGTCTCGTAATACGAACTTATGACGCACACATGCATGTAATTTCTCTGCTCGATGCGTTACGGCCTCGTGGATTTATGTATTCACGAGGCCTTGCGGCCCTTTAGGCCCTCGCACACCAGGGTTCTCGAGTCTTCAGATCAAATCGCACTCTGCGGGCGCAACGTCGTCGGGGTGCCGAATACTCCGGGCTCCTTGGTTCACGCTACATTCCTGTCAAACAGGTCTGTCAACTTGAACGAAGGATACTGCTATGCTACGTACGCTCGACATGTGAGTATATTGTTTTATTGTTATATTGTGTTCAATTGAAGTTTTGTAACTGAAAAAGTAAATTGAGGAACAAATACATAAGATTTATCTTTCAACAATTTGTTAATCATTTAATATTTTAATAAATAAGAGTGACTATTTCCAGTGTTGATTAACTGTAATCAATGGTTAACCTTTCGACAAAATTGCCAGCATGAATGAAATATCGTCGTCAAAGAAAAGTTTAAAATTTTTTTCTTCTTTGATGACAATATTTTATTCTTCCTGTTAGCAATTCTGTTGACAAATTTTGACCATTGATTAAAGTTAATCGACGCTTGAAATAGTCATTCTAATAAAAGAAAAATATTTCAATCATGAGTTTACAATAAATTGCGTTTAATCGTTTTCAGATTGATTTAAATCCATTCAATTGAAGATCGAATGCAATGTGAATCTACCATAAAAAATAAAGTTGAGATGAGTTGTCAAGTTAGCAAGCCTGAATGCTGCAACTTCTAACCACAAATTTAAGTGCCAGTGCGAGCGGGCCGGCGTCGCCGGGCGAGGATGCGGGAAGATGGCGACGACGGAGTTAAATCCGGCGAAGCGCGTCAACATTTCACGCGGTGATGATTCGGCAGAGAAGGCGGACGAGTCACATGCAACGGCGACGTCATGCCGGCAGACCGAGTGCTATCAATTTCGCGCCATTGATTTACTGCACTATGCATTTTCAGTCAGTTTCTTTTTCGTGGACCTAGCAACAGGTGAACAAAGAATATATCACACATAATATGCGCGTACTGGGTGTCTCATGATTTGCGACTTCAATCTCGAAAATGATTCTTTAACAGGTATATTTTATAATGTTAACAATTCTCGAAATACGGATGAGATGGAAGCAATCTTTTCATCAGCAAACATTTATTAAATGGATAACAAATCTAAAAAGGAATTGATTGCAATTGATAAAGTTTGACGGTAAAATTAAAGTCGCCAATTTTAGCACACTCTGTACACTTCAGTTGAGACAATTGTTTATATTGATGTCACTAATAAAAAATATTGTAATTGCAAAACTATAAATTTTCAAGAGAATTATTAATTCTTTTTTAAAAATGTTATTTTGTGTGTATGTGTGTGTGTGTGTGATAATAAAATTATATATATTTCTTATAATATTGAATAGATATAGGACCGATAGAGATGATTGTTTTATGTAATATTTTTTTATATATTGTAAGAAAAATGATAGAAGGTACGTTCCACTTGGCGATCGCAACGCTTGTGGAATTATTTTATCTTTGTTTTTCATCGAAAGTTAAAGAAAGATAGATAATGTTCGCGAGCGTTGCGATCACCAAGTGGAACTCAGCCAGAATAGCATTGGTAAATAATTATAACTAGAAATGCAGTTACAATATTTTTTACCAGTGCCGATGATATGTATCATTTTGTTTTGTCCTAAATGTTTGACATATTGTTATGTATATGGTAATGAAGTTTGTTCAAAGCATGCAGTTATAGATGTTTGTATTACTGGGAAAAGCTTTTATTTTTGTAAATTGAACATTTTGTAAGATATTTTTCGTACACACAGACAGCATTGTATGTGTGGAATACCTTTTGCAAGGCCACTCATCATGGGGATGCTTTACAATGGTTTTCATCATCTTACCCGCTTGTGTTACTCAACTATTTAGTTTGAGATGGCATCGTAGTGATGGTTCCTTGCAGACTGTTCATTGGTTATCACATTTCTTACTTCTCGGCTTTTTGCACAGGTATTTAATATTTATTTTTGCACAATCTATTTAGAGTTAAATTTGCCAGTAGTCTTGTAAGTAAATATGCAATGCATATAATTATATTATAATAAAGATGATATAATGAATTATTTGTTAATGTTAACTTTTTTCCAGGTACTTGACCTTGTTTTATGCTGCAATGTATTCTTTAAGAAATAAGTCGAGCTTTAGCAGAGACAGAAATTGGGTGTACCGGCAAGAAAGCGACATATGTATGTTACATTTGTTCCAATCCTTTATGGGAGCTGCTCCACAGTTGATATTGCAACTGTATGTTATCGCGATGTTACATCATGCTCCACTTTGGACGAGTAAGTGTTTCATTATTTTAATGCTTTTAAACATTATCTTATTTTATCTATCTTAGGACAGATTGTTAAAAGATTATTAAAAATATTAAGCACGTTATTAAAAACTATATGCTTATCTATATGTTTACATATATTTTTGGAAAATTTTTTCCAAAAATTTAAAATAGAATGTTGTTATCTTTCACATTTGAAACACAATTATTTATAGATTTATAATATTTCAGATTTATTTACATAATTATAAGCTGCCTATATACAATATATATAACTGAAACAGATAACATTAGGTAAAGGAATAGTTAAATAATTTATAATCGTATTCATAGATTTTATAAATCTCATCAAGAAGCAATTGCGGTATTTCTTTAATATACTTGTTCAGTGTTTCCCTGGTGGTTGCGCCATGAGGATTGGTGTTCTGTGGGTAGTTTCTGTCATACAGATGTTCATTTAGATTTGTATCTTGTATGAAAAAATTCTGATCTCTGTCTAACGTTTCAAACTTTAAGATGTAGTCGTAACGAAGCATGCATGGATCGCAAGTGCGATAATACGGCGCCCAATGTTCGTCGAAGTATTTTTCATTGACGATAAATCGCAGAAACTCTGTAAACGACGGTTCTAATTTCGTCATCACATTGCCGGGTTTGCGATACATGAGTGCGATTCGTCGGCCAAAGCGTTTGTAATAATATTCGCGGTCCTGTATGTGCTCCAACTTGTCTCTGTACGCGGACAACAAACGCTCCAGCGGATGTCGTACAATTAGGAACTTCTTCGTTCTGCTTATTTTCTGAAAATTTATAGCTTCGTTATTTAAGTATGCGTTTGCTTTGCTTGTTTAACTCTTTATAGAAACTTAAGAAACAAAAAGATTAAAAATTAATTTATATTTTAACACTTTTATTATATTTTGTATGACGTATAATTGATTAATGAGTTGCAGTTTTATGAAGAGTTAATAAAACAATTCTCACCTCATAGGTTTTGTTAAAATCCGCATCGTGAGGAAATTTCTGTCTTACGATATCGCTAATTTGCAAAAGATTGTGACGCACTAAATCCATAATATCGTCTGTCGGACTACCCTTTAGTGCGGCAAAGTAATTCATCCATGTGGAACTCGCCGCCTTGTATATGGGACACCACGATACGTTGTACTCCCTTCGGATATTTATTAGTTTTTGAGAGATGGAAATTTTATTTGACGATTAAGATAGAAATTTTACTTAATTATTAAGAGAAAATAGCTAGTAAAAAATTTTTTTACAAATGATTTTAACGAGTAAAAAATAAACTTTTTAGCATTTTTAGCTTACGTGCTGATAATCATATTTGTTAGCGCGGCGTTCAAGTACGATGTCTTCTCGCCGATTGTCTCGCATACGTGCATCACTTGCTGCCTTCTGCTGTCCAATTCTCTCCTAACATCTTCCATCTGATCTCGCGGCATTATTGCCCGCGGCATTATTGCCCGCGGTATTATTTCAGACACGACGGACGCATATTTCGGTGATGCGACCGGCGCTATGTTTGTCTCCGTATGCGAAGTTTGCGCTAAATTCGCCAGCATTAACAATGCCACGATGCAGATCGTTGTTAATACCGCGACCGATTGTAACACTGTCACTTGTCTCTGCAATTGATCGAATATTTTCTTTTTGCAACTCGCGGATATATTTTTTCTCCATTAATTTTATATATATATATATATATATATATAAACTATATACTATAATACAATATAAGAAAGTCTTGCAATTCAGAGATTATTAATTATTAAGATGTTTAACGTAGAAAATCGAAAATATATAAAAGGAAAAGAAAAAAACTTTAAGAATTAGTCGAGAAAGCCGCGATTGAAAAAAATGATTATTTTAGAACACCATATGCACTACATACATACCTGCATCAATAAAAAAAGCTTTTTCGTGGTGTGATAAGAACCGGCTTTCAATAATCGTGGATAAACCGTTAAGCTTTCACTGCCGCTCGGTGTTAATGTGTCGATCTTCAGTTTTTTATGTAACGTTTGTGTCATATTTCAACAATTATCGCGTTACATGTGATTTGCTCATAAAGTCAAAGCTACAGTGAGGAACCGTTGAGGAATACTACTGCAACACGTTACACTGCTGTATCACTGTGCTTGGAGAAAAAAATATGAAGATCCGTAAACATGCTACAAGCAACGCTGTTATTTCACATCCTTCGTCGGTTTCCGCTCCCGTAGATAACAGAAAGAAAGGAATATCACCAACAAGTTTATCTGTTTTACTGGAACAATGCGCATCCGTAGGATGCAACGATACTTCACGAGGCGAGGGACTCGCGTCCTCTTTGGTTTTAAATATAAAGCGACGAAGCGCGAAGCGAAACGAAATGTCGAAGCGTATTCAAAAATAGAATATTCGAAAAGAAAGCAGCAGTTCGTTGCAAACAATAGCCGCGAAAAAATATAGTACATCGGCTCTATTTATCTTCTCGTATTCTTTTTGATTTAATTACATCTTAATTTAATGACAGTATTTAGTAATAATGATAATAATAATAATAATAATTTATACATTTATATATATTCCCAAAGGAATGCTTATACGTTTTTAAAGTTTCTCTTGCAATATTGAAGATACGTACCATTATTGCTTATTGTTAGACAAAACAAATATAAAATTCGACTAGATCAAATTAGATTAAAATTTAATCAAATTAGTTTTATCAATTAAAAATGTAAATATATCATAAATTAATAAAATTTTTCTGATTAATGCAAGTATGTAGCACACAAGGCGCACCTAGAACAATCATATTTCCTTTCAACACTAATTTTTTGACTAATTTTGTGAATTATGATAAATTTATTATGTTATTTACAATATAATATTGTGTGTTTTTCTGACACGCTCTACAGATTTAATATTATTAAAATATTAATTGATATTTTTTTTATATATATGAAATTTTTTTGCGCAGGTCTTTCCGCCGTAGCTTCTTTTTGTTCTCTGACATGGGCTGTGAGTACATATATGAGGGCAATGCACAATATCAATCGCGAACGCAACAACGCGACCTGGATCGCACTCGCTCTTCAGACTTTTTGGCGCGGTGGTATGCTGCTTTCCAGAATCGGAGTCTTGGTGTTGGCGGCTGTTTTTTTGAAAGCTTGGTTCTTTTTGTTCCTAGGTGAGCTACGCTCCAGCAATATTATTATAAATAAGAAACCGTTAAATTTTTGTGTCTAATAAACGTCTTGAAATTAAAGAAATTGAAAAATTGCACCACTGCTTCTTCTAATTAAAAAAAAAAATTGTTCTCCAGGTTTGCATTGGTTATTCATGACGATTTGGGTGATTCTGCAGAAGACTGAATTTTGCCCGACCGTGTGGGAGGAGCGCATCTACAACTGCATCATCGGACTGATATACTGCTTTGACTTCTTCAACTTGTGCGAGGGCAAGTCGCGTTACCGCGTGTTTGTTTTTTACTCGGTGTTCATCGTGCAGAATCTGATCTTTTTGACCATGTACGCGCTGCGTTTCCAAGGCACGATCGCGGATACTGTGATGGTCACGATAGCGAGTTTGATATGCAGCAGTATGTTTATTGGTCTGATGAGCATGCTGCTATACTACGGCGAGTATCATCCGTCGAGAATGGCAGCGAGAGCCTCGCGGAATGTTAATGAGCATTCGGCAAAAGTTGACACTCCTAGATCATTCAAGCTATTCCATCGCGGCTCTCTTGCGTCGCTGCACCACTCTATCGACATCTCGCCGAGGATTGAAAAGATGGCCACTGATAAGCAATCCCTGCTCAGGAATATCGCGCAAATGTCTGATTGCACTGAGGAAGGTATTATCAATCGCAACTACAGCTTGGAGAACAAATCAAACGCGAGCAGCAGCGTGCGCATCTCCACCGAGTGTGAGAGGCCGCACAGTCGCGTCGGTGCTGGTAAACATAAGGATGAGGTGTTGCTGAAAGACAATTTGGACAACGCGCTCGTCGGCAGTGCGCCACTGAGTTGCCCGTATCCCGGCTTAGCCGATATTGATTCATCCCGGAAACGTCGCGGCATTTACGAACATGATATCACGCCGCAATTGGATTGGTACGCACCGGACATACTGAACATCGACCTGGACCGGCTCGGCAATCTCGATCACGGTGAATGGAACAACTCACTCTCGTTGGACACTTGCGGTAAAGTGATCGATGTGCTGGACATTATCAAGAATAGAGGAAAGCTGACAACCCCAACGTCGCTAGAGAGTGGCAGAATTTTCGACATAGAGAAGGTGTCAGATGACTTGTAGCAGCAGATTTACAAATGTTGTTTAAATTTATTAGTTTTCACTCGTTTTTCTTTCTTTACTTTAAATTAATTTATTACTTTTTGCTTATTATTATGTTATTTTTTATTTATTATATTGCGATGTGTTATAATGGATTACGTTAGATTTTTACCTTCGAATTTTTTCTTTTTATTTTTATTAAAAAATAATGAAGAAACTTTCTCATCTAATATTGTATTTTTAACATTATTTTTCGATTTTACAGCAGCAGCGGGACGAGACGATGAGCTGCGTGACGTCGATTCACGATTATGAGAACGTGTGTCCGCTGGGAATTGCTCGGCCGCCGTGGTGTATCCGCAGTTGGAAGGGCTACACGGACATCGAGACGTATATTCATGACGACAGCGTGGTGCGCGATCGGCGACGCGACACTTTAACAAGCACAACTGGCACGACGTACAGCTCGGAATATTCCGACGGCATAATTTCGCGCGGAGCGTTGAAAGAACAGGATGATTACGCGGATGCTTTGACTTACGATTTGGTGGAATCTAAGGATGCTAAAGTGTCCTACAGCGACGATTCGTTCTCTGCGTCCACTGTGGACGATCGGAACGCCAATTTGTTCGTTGCCAAGCCGGTGGTGATCGACGACCGAGGCGGCATGCTTGCGTTGGACACGATACTGGAGGAGCGCGACGATTCAGGATCGTCGGACGAGTTTCAGCGCGGAATGGAGCCACTACGCAACTCCGCGAGCACCCTGGTGAGTACAATTGATCAGATTAGGCGGTACACAGCGGAAAATTCACCGCGACACGTCTATCACACTACCGGGGCTCAATGGGAAGACCTGAATCCGAAGAACTTGATGGCACGAGCGCATTTTGCCAAAGTTCTGTTTGACAACGATCTTAGAAACGCCTCTGCGACGACCAGTCCGGCTGGTTTGACCGCGCAGGACGCCGAGAAGCGCGAGATAGACGCGATCCGGGAGGTTGTGCGGTGTTGCGCGATAGAATCTATTAAGAAGACGCCGCTAATAGAGGCCATTCTGTCGGACTCGCCGATCCTCGGCAGTAGAGCGAGCAAACTCGCAAGGCAGATCACGTTCGCGGATCGCAAGGACGACTTTGACGTGAACGAGAGCGACCTTTACGTGGAGATGAGTCCCCTGGTATCCGTTGAGAACGGTGAGAACTCGAGCCAAACCAAGCTCGTCGATGCGAAAGCAGTCGAAACGGAGATCACCAAGAGAAGTAATCCACCCGCGATATCGAAGAAATCACCGGACAAAGAGAACTTGGCGCCGATTTTGCCGAGTAACAATAGGCGGATCAGCAATATGAGGTATGATAACAGTGATAATAACGACAGACGTGCTTGGACGATCGAAAGAGACGATAAGTATGATAGGTCTATGTGCAATGTGCGTTTTAATTTGAAGGAGAAGAGACACTTGTTCCTAGAGCAGGTGCTCTCGCCGGTTCCAAAACTCTGGAACAAACGTATCTCTTTCCACCCAAACACCAAAAATTTATAACGAACGACTTTTCGATTCTTTCTTATGAATTTCATAAGAATTCAATGAGAAATTCATTTTTATCGAGTATTTTTATAGAATAATTTTGAATAATTTCGATTTGGTACGTTTCGGAATTGAGAATCAAATGACAGCTCAGTTTTAATCTTGCTCAAATGTATTTCTTGTTTGTGTTTTAGGAATTTTAAGGAATTCTTTTTTGTGTAATAAGTTCAAGGAACTAAGCAATATAATTAATCTTATCCCCTCCCCCCTTCCGCCCGTTACGTTTCCAATTGGATGTCATTCTTTGATGAAAATCGCTGTTCGCTTGCATCGGGGCACAATTAAAGCAGGGGAATAATTTGTGTGACACGGAAACGATATGATTAAGAGCGATACACCACAGTACAAATACCGAAATAGAATACTGTCACTCGTTAAATAAGCACAGGTAATTAATTTTATCCATGACTTTAAGCTGCGTCGCGTTTGTCTCTATTATTATTAATGACAAAGTGAATGCGATGTCAGCGTGTGATATTCGCGCCGTCTGATTCTTTTTATATTATCATAGCGATTTAAGTCTGGTATTGCACTTGTGCAATTAATTAAGTGTATATAAAAAAGTATTCTATACACTGAGATTATTTTTGTACGTAATTTTACTATGTAAAATACAGATACTAATGTGTAATGAGAGATCTAAAACACAGCACATCGTAATTTTCAGTTTTCTATATGCTTTTTAACGAGAGAAAATCATAAGAGAAGAAATGCATATACATTTTTGCCATGTGAAATGTATATAGAATTCTGCCTCTTAATAGAACAGTCAAAATGTGGATCAAAAAGACATTTTATGAATCAAACTCTTTAATACTATTTATAGGATCGAAATGTAGATAATTTTAAAAGATTTTTTTAATAAAAAAAAAGTCACTTTTTTACATTTTTGTATTTTACGCACAACAAATTCGCGCCTGGAATTACTTTATAAGTTATTGATAAGAAAGAAATCTGCAGAAGAAAGGTGATTCGTGACATCTGTTGGCACGCGCGATAAACGAATAGGATAGGTTAGGTTAGCTTACGAAAAAGAATTTCATGAATAGTGTCGGAGCAGTCGCATGAAAATGAAAAGCAGGCGTAACGTAAAGGTGAGGCGTGCCGCGAAAACAAGCCAGCCATAACTCGAGATCTGCGTACCGTGATCACGCTGTTTCCCGCCGATCTTCGTCATCGTTATATCTCGCCATGATGGGGAAAACGTCGTGTAGCGTCGCGACGCCGCGATAGTGAGTGTGCAAAAGAGGAGCGCGACTTCGCGTCAGGTCCGCGACATCCGTGTCAATCACGAAGCGCGGCACATGGATGCAACCAACGGGCAGAAACCCCATGGTGAGGATCTTTTTTTACTTTAATCTCGGGCGTAGTCTCTCGATTCAATTCTTGTAACCATTTGGAGATATAATCGTCTGATCGAATTATGGATAAATACTTTACCACAAAACATTCTGTTTTCTTGTCAATATGGATAATATTTAGTAATATTATATATATCGGCAAGCGAAATACGTAAATAATTAAAACCGTTGCTAGATATTAGAAGAGAGCAATGGATACTGGTAGTGAATTAGATTAGGTTAAATCAATTACTTGTATTAATCGTAGTTTTATTATTAATGCATTAAACATTGTATTGTTTGTCACACATTGTGTTAAATAATTTATTAATTTTTTTATTGTGTGTAATGAAAATTTATGAAGCCATGTTCTGTCGAAGACGATATGGTCGGTAATATCAGCGTTCGTCCATTACCTCTGGAATCATTCTAACCTAATCTAATCGTAACATAACCTGATGCTTAGAACTGCAAACAGAAGAACGGCGAAAAAACTTTTAAATATTTTTATAGAAACTAATATATTTAAAATTATTTAATAGATAAATAAATTACGACATTTGCATGCTTGTATAACTTATTCAATTATATTGTCTAATTTTAAAACACATTAATGATACATTGCTTTTTTTATAAAGTATCAAGTGAGGGTTTTAATTATACACTTTTATTTTACACAATAAATTTACAAAATTTTATTAAAATTAGTAAAAACATAGATTCACTGAAATGTTTCAAATTAGTTAATTATTTATTAATGTTGCATTTTGTAAAAGAATTTATTTGGAACATAATTGCACTTTTGTATTTTTGTAATACATTTTTATTTTATAACTACATTTCTTTGTTTTTTTAATGGATTTTTTAAATTAAAAAATGGTCAGAACAATTTACAGTGAAACAGTGCATCTAGTATCGACAGTAATCTATACAAGAAGCTTTTTTTACAGTGGGGTCATCTTCTACTGGAGGAGGACCATCCTCTGACAAGGGTAAGGAATGGCAAATGGAGCTACTGATGGAAAAATTGCGCTCTAAGGCTTCCACGTTCAAGCCTTTGGTGGAAACTGCCAAAACCATGCGTATGGCCATGTTGGTGAGTGATTTTTGCTTATTTTATCATTTTACAGTTGGACGCAAGGTGTGAATATGATTTTTTGTTTCCCATAAACATAGGACAAGCGATTTGCAATTGACAGCATAGAGAAGAATCAGTTGCAGAAATGTTTGGACACTCTACAGCATTCCATCAAAGTTACTTCTTTCCAATCCATGGTAGAACGTCTGGAAAGCTTAGCGAGACAGTTAGGGTGAGTTTTTGCTTACATTTTGAAAATTTGTGGTTGCAGTTTTAAATATGCTTTTCTTTTTTATGATTTTTTATCAGTGACTTTTCTGAATTTATTCTGTATTGTATTTATTTAGTGTTTATTAATACAAGTTGTAATTAAATAAAGTCTAATTTATTACACTAAATTAAATTCACTTCTGTTATGTAAATATAATGTAATATTAATTTATTGATTAGTAATTCATATTTTATAAAATAAATCTAATTTTTCTCTTATCTTGTTACACAGATTAAAGTTTATGATGTCTGGCACAGAAATATTCATATCCTCTGATATGTTCTTCTTGGAAGTGCTATTAGAGCCGTCAGGGCTTGTCAGAGATGTTAAAATCCATCATGAGGGAAAAAATGAGCAACAAGTAAACATAATGAATATTATTATTATTTTTTTCTTGTTCTGTCTTCCTATTCTTATTACTTTTGTTTTGTAAAAGAGCTGTGAAGCGCTTGCATCGGCCCTGTCGCGCGGAGACTTTATTGATTTCACCACGCAGCTGGAAGGATTCGCATCGATTTATCAGTTAAACGCTGATAAGAAAGTCAAATGCAAAGCATTCTGCGCCCTGCAATCACTCGAAGTTGACTTGGGTGTTCTCGCACAACTGCAAACATTTATGAAAGAACCATTCAATTTAGTTCACAAGAGTCCTGTTGGTAATTATTTTTTTATATATCAATTTCTTTATAATTATTTACTTATAAGCACAAGTATTTTATCTCTATGTTATGGTGTAGGAATTCTGGAAAGAAGAAGAGGCGGTCATCCAATGAAATTAACATATTTTGTCTCGCCATACGATTTGATAGATGAGGAAAATCGAACTTACGATATCTTGAATCCCGACACCATTATTAAACGGAAGATTGGCTATTCGGTAACCGTTTGTATGGAAGGCTCAACGGGTCACAAGCTGCCCACGTCCAATATTATAACTGTAAATAGGAGTCCTACGGGAAAGAGGTATGTTAGACGAAATTTCTTTCTTTATTTCTTTAAAACTTTATTTTGAATTTTTTATATTTATATAATAATGTATTTTAAAAAGTCGTGTTTATTACTTTCAGTATTTATTTTTAAATTCTTATTTTTTTATTGTATAATTTTTTTCTATTTGGTTGCAATTAAGTTTGTGTACTTAATGTCTCCTATTTTTTTTTTTTAGCACACCTTCATATGCTCCGCTGACTAGTACAAATTCCTCCATGTTGCCCGCCTGTTTCGTGCTGAAACTCGGCAAAAAGATGCCGATCTGCATGGAATTGATGAGGAGAATACAAAAAGTCACTGAACTCGAATGCGGTGACGTCTCTGCGCCGCATCCACTGCTTAGCTTGATAATACAGCATGCGAGCGACGGCCAGCTGGACTGTCGCAACAACAGAGGCTTATACGTGGTAAATAAGAATTTTGGATAATGTTTTTATAATATAAAATGGATGCGACAAAAGTTTGAGAATCTTTTTTGTTTATTATCGTAATTAGAAACAGAATGTATTATATTTTTCTCTGAAACAAATTATTTGAAAATTTTATTTACATTTTTGGCTTATTCTTATACAATTTAATTATTATTCTTTTATAATGTATACAATTATTCTTTATACAATACAAAATAAATAAAGATATGCAGTTTATATATATATATATATATATTGTATATCGAGTTTTTACATTTTAGACTCTGCCGGATCAGCAGCATTGCTATTTTATGACTGAGAACAAGAACATGGAAGGCGTTCTGGTATGCAGTATTCCATTTACGCACCCCGCGCACGTACCGCAGATACTGGTGTATCTGCGGCAACAGGCATTGTTCAACTGTCTGATTGCAAGCTGCGTACGTCCAATGGCGCGTCAGGATCCGGAGCATACCACTATACTTGAGGTAAGCGCTCTGTCGTGGCAACACATCAGCGTGAGCGTGGAACATCCGTACGAAGAGACGATGGTTACCGCGGAACTGGATTTGACAGACATATCAGCGCTCAAGTGCCGATTATATGGTATGAGCGTAACGACAAGCGTGGAACAGACATCGGATCTCGGCGGCAGGATTTTGCAACGCTGTCTCAGCATACCGTTGACTCTGCGCACGTTGCTGAAGATCTGGGAAGGCAATTCTCTACCGGCGATGATGAACAATTTGACCGGTAACGTTGGCGGTGGCGCCGGCAACGGAAACTATAACCTCAATCTGGGTGCGGGCGGTAAGGATCAGACCGGACAAAACGGCACTGCATCTGGCATGCCGGACTTTACGAATGGCGAGACGAAGGTGAAGCAGGAGCCCGGTTTGAATAACGGTAGCAACGGGTGCATGGGAGGCAGACAAACACAGCAGCAACAGCAGCAATCGTCGTCGCATCAGTTACAACAGCAGTCTTTTTTAGATGCCGGAACGGAAAGTAGTATCGGTTTTCCGTCGTATTCCGGCCAATCCGATACGACGACTGTGGTGACGGGTGTTACGACAAACAGCACCGCCGCCTCCATGCTGAACCCGTTGCAGCTTGGCGCGCTGCTAGGGCAGACGAAGAATTCATTGACAGGTAATTCAAACTCGAACGAGCGTGGCAAAAAGACGCGCAAGAGAAAGACGGGCACGGCGGACGGTCTTTGGCGGAGTCCGAAGCGGAAAGGTGACAGTAGTGACACCGCGGAGATTCTACTGGAGAGTTCGAGCTCAGAAAATTCTACACCATTGGGCACGCCCACGAGCGGCCGAGAGAATCTCACATCAGAGACGAGAACGTCAACACCGACCTCGGCTATCAGTTTGGCGAGCGGCGTGGACTTTTCGAATTTGGATAGTGCGGATATTCTCGGAACGGATAAGAGCGCCTCCGATTATGATCTCGACAACTCGGAGAAAGACAGCGAGATTATGGAGGTGCAGCATAGTGGTGCGGAACAGCAGTCGCAACAGCAACAACAGCCGCAACAGCCACAACAACAACAACAACAACAACAACAACAACAACAACAACAACAACAAGATGTAGAGGAGTTGTTGAAAGTACGCGAGTCGTTGTCGACGCGTAAATCAAAGAAGAGTCGCAGTGGCGGCGATGAGAAGAAGTCGAGTCCAACGAACATATTTGTCGACGAGACCTCAACGTCCAGTAGTAGCAGCAAGAATCTACCGGTGCCGCCGTCAGTAAGTATTACGCCAATCTCATGCGGTAACTTGGATCAAACGAGCACCGCCAACTATAATTCCGTTCTGACGGGCATGGGTTTGGAAAGGAGGCCGGGCATCGAAATCATACCCATTGCTTCGTCGCCGTCGCAGACTAATCTGCCAAGTTCAATTACCATCACACCGATCACAGGGCCGGCGCCTTCGCCGAAGACCGGCGTTCTGACGAGCGCGACCGAGGAACGTCAGCGGAGCGAGCGAAAGAGCAGCTCTGGAAAGAGCAGCAGTAGCGGCGGTGGCGGTAGCAAGAACGGCTCCGAAGATAACAACAAGAGCAGCAGTAATAAGTTGGAGAAGCGGCGCAAGCGCAAACGAGAGGACGGGCCGATGGGTCCACCGGACAAGGTTCCGCCCGGAGGTAAACAGCAGCAGCAAGACGCGCTCTCCAAGCCGGTGTCAGTGAGTATCAAGCCGAGCACCGAGCAGTCGCCGCCGAGTCTGAGCTGCTCATCGTCGCGGCCAACCTCACCCGCAGCTGTGCGAAAATTCAGTCCATCGCCGACGCACACGAGCACACTCGTCACACTTGTAGGCAAGTCCAGTCCAACCATGAAAGCTACCCAATCAGCGACAACGGTGACAACATGCGGTAAACCGGTGCAGAGTCCGAAACACTCGCCTGTCTACGGCAGCAGTCCGAAACACAACGCACCGAATGTGCCAGTGGTGCCAATGTCGGTGCCAATGTCGCTGTCTGTTTCCACAGTGCCCAACACGGTCGGCAGCATACCATCTGTGGCAGTCTCTGTGCCGGTACCAGTGCCGGCGAGCGCGAGTCCGAAGCACGGCAGCACCTCGTCGCCGAAACATGGCAGCTCGGCCGCTAGCAGCGGCAAACCCAGCATGTCTGCCCTGAAATCGGCGGCGAATTCGCCGTCCAGCAAGAGCGGCTCTGACGCATCAGCGACTCCGTCCAAGATCAAGTCGTCTTCCTCCTCCTCGAGCAAAGATTCTTCCGGACGTGGGGACAAAGAAAGAAGAGCGTCGTCTGTCAGTTCCTCCAGCAGCTCGGCCGGCGGCCATCAGAGCCCCAAGACTAAGTCATCCTCCAGCGCCAAGCTAAAACAGTTGGAAATAATCTCCCCCAGTAGCAGTGAGGCCGTGCAAATTTCCTTGCAGTCCTCCGGTAACAGTGGCGGCAGCACACCGCCTTCCGGTCAGGCCGACGCGGCCAGTAAATCCGCGATCGCGGCCCAGCAAGCGCAGGCGAGAAATCGGAAAAGCTCTCTCAACGCGGTTATCGATAAGCTGAAGAATGCTCAGCATTGCACTGAGCCGGACGGTTGCGGTAATGGTGGCAGCGGCGCAAAGAGCAGCAGCTCTTCCGGAGTCAGCGGTGCTGGCGGAATCGGCAGCGGTGGAAGCGGCGGACAAAAGGAGAAGAGCATCGGTAGCTCGTCATCGTCATCGTCGTCATCGTCGTCGTCGTCGTCGTCGTCGTCGTCGTCGTCGTCGAGTGGGAACAAGATTGTCGCAGAGGGAGGAAAGTCTTCGTGCATCGCCAAAAATTCATCCGTAGATACGAAGAATCCCGCGTCCGAATATATGGTGAAGCATTCGGACGGTACAAAAATCACCATCAACAAAACACGTACTAAGGATTCCAAGCAATCGACAGCTAGTCTGAAGCTGTCGTCGTCTTCGTCATCGGTAGTGATAGCAGCCGCATCGTCGTCTTCAAGCTCCTCGTCATCCGCAGCGTCTTCCTCATCATCGTCGTCATCGTCGTCAAGCAACATGGTTGCCGGCAACAATGGCTCGCCGAAAACTCACACCGGCCTGAAACCAGGCGTGAATTCCGGACCGGCGTCCAAGAAACCACAAACACTACAGACTCCACAAAAATTACTACCCGCGAAGATGATGCTCGCCGCCGGCGGAATAAAGTCCGCTATGTCTTCCTCGAGCGCGGCGAACACCAGTGCGGGAATCGCGGGTACAACATCAACCGGAGGTGTCGGCGGAAATCCCCTGAAAAGCAGTTCGTCCTCCAAGTCCTCCGGTTCTCCGAAGACTAGCAGTGCCGGGGCGACTGATCTGAGTCGCGGTCGCGATAAGCCCAGGATTCCGAAGTCCAGCGAAAAAGGAATATTTGCATCAAAGGGTCTCGGCGATGCCCGCAAATCCAGCCCATCCGCTCTGCGCGAGGAGAGCGACAGCGAGCGGGCGTTCAAGCTGTTGGCCGCGCATGCGTCGATTTCCAGCTTGCCACCGAGTTTACCGCCGCAGCTAGTGATGGAAGGTCTGATGAACAGCTCGACACCAAGTTTCAAATACCAAAGCTGTCTGCTCGCGCAAATGTTGCGGACGACAAGAACAAGTCGTCGGACAAGCTGCCGACGATGTTGTCCGATTCCGCGAAGCAAACTTTGGACGGTTTAAAGCAGGAATCAAGCAAGCTCGCTAGTCTGTCCAGTGTCAGCGTGTCGGTATCCAAGTCGTTGCCGGACGACCAATCGAGGCGGGATCACCCGCCGACGAAACTAGACAACTTGTCGATCTCCACATCCGCCTCCGGTGCGATGACTCTGAATCTTGTCGGCGAAAATACTGGTGGTCTAATGCTACCTCCGCAATCGACCGCCGATTCGGATGTGCCTACGAATCTCTGCATACAACCGATAGACAACGAGTCGTCCCGCGACTCTTGCAAGGATCTGGGGATGCGACAGACATCGACCGGCCAGCAGTTTCTCGGTAAGATCGACGACACAGGTGGCGGAATTCTATCCAAAGGCAACGTTTCCGATCAAGTGTCGTCGTCCTCGAAGCCATACACGCCGTTGACCAGTTCCGGTGCTTCGACGACACCGTCGAGCGGCGGCTCCATTGTCGCCGAAAGTTTAAATCTGAGCACTAAGCCGGCTGACCAGGCCGCTCTACAGGTCAAGTACAATAAGATTGTCGCCGAGGAAAGAACAACAACAGACAGCAACAGACGGCAGCAGCAGCAGCAGCAGCAGCAGCAGCAGCAGCAGCAGCAGCAGCAGTGCGGCGCACCGTCATCCTCATCTACATCGTCGTCGTCGTCGTCGTCATCATCGTCGTCGTCATCGTCGTCATCGTCGTCGTCGTCGTCGATTTTCTCATCGCTGGGCGGCGTTACAACCACGTCCGACGCTAACTCGGGCATCGTTGTGACGTCGTCTGATGTGGGCGGCAACAGCGGCGAGCAAGAGGCAGCGGCTGCGGCGGAGCTGCTGCTGGACTTTACCGCGACAGGCAAGGATTCCATGGCAAAGAGTCACGGTTTGCCGACCTCTTTGGCACACCTGACGACGATTCCAGAGCGCGCGATGACGCAGGCGGCACCGGTGGTGCGTCGAAACACACCGCCACCACCACCACCTCCGCCGCCCCTTCCTACTCCATTTCCGCCCGCTGCTAGTCCGTCCGTCAGCGTGCACATTGTAAAGAGTCCGGCGCCGAGCCCTCGGGTCATCCCGCCTTCCCCTCACTCTTCAGCGTCACCCTGCATCACTGACGACGAGCTTATGGACGAAGCGTTGGTCGGCATGGGTAAATGAAGATTGCTTAAACTGTAAAGAAGAGAATATTCGCTTTTATTCCTAGACGTTCCAGGACGTTTTAGGATGATCCACCGGCGACGGAACAGCCAAGTCAAATTTCCAACTTTGAAAATGTAAAACGAAGCCGAGGACACGACATTTTTTATCTTTACATGTAGAGAAATTAATCAGGCATTTTATGGACCACCCCTATATGTTCTTGGCTATATCCTCGATTGTAAACTTGATGTCGACTCGTCAAAGCCTACCGAGAATGAAGTAATCTTTCTTGACGACCGCACATCCGTCACGATTCAAGAACGAAGACGTATTTCATTCTTCGCGTATCGCTGAGGTGATTAGATCATTTTCCGCCCCCACCACGGCCAGAGCTGTTTGGATAGACAGGCTTTGCACTTGGACGACGAATCCTAAATCCGAAAAGAATGCAAGAGTGTGTTCGGTATTATTTTCCGGACAACGACAAATATGATCACGTAAGTACATATATATGTATTGCAAAAGAAAGAAAGAAAGAAAGAAAGAAAGAGAAAGATTGCGAGACCAGAATACAGATATTAATTTTTATTTCTGATTTGAACAGGAATCTCAACCGCATGCGACGATGAGCGGCGAAACGCACATTTACACAGACTTCCGGCGTCGTGTGCATTGAATGTGCGCTTCAAGATCGGTTGCACTAAATGCACAGCTCTTCTACAGCTTGACATCCGTGTGAGTGGAATTACAAAGATTCTTTATTTCGTAAAGCGCTTATACATAGCGGGCGAAACTTGAGGTTCTGAAGAGAAAAAAAAGCCACAATGGAGTTGCAGTATTTTAAGCGATTATTGACAACGCAATATTGTTATAAAATATCAATGAAATATGCGTCAAACATATGTTAAAAAAGCGCACCGCACTAATTTGCTGATTCCCACCATGTCTTACTAGTGCAACCGAAACGTGAGATATTACTGTGATCGACCAGTCGAACTGATTTGAGGCGTAGAACTTCGTAAATCTTCATTTCTTCCGCCCGCAACCCCGGCATCCTTTCATCATCTTTCCTATTTCGATCCTGAAAGGATATCACGCTTCCAGGATACTCAACGTGTCTCGACGTTAAACGGTCATTAGCTTCTTGACTCGACGATGACTCAGCAGTCCGTTTCAGATCGGTAAGTTTTTCAACACTGCCAAACTGATTAATCCTTTTTAATTTCTCTGTAAAAGATAATGCGAAAAAAGAAAGAGAAATTTATTGCATGCATTATCCTTCTTTTTTTTATATAAATTTTTTAAACGATACGTTCGAGTGTACATATTATGAGACATTTTGCCTTTACAGACAGTTTACCGAGAGATATTTTGTGTTAATTGTATAATACGTCGGTACGGACGGTTTTCTTTAAAATTATTACTAACGCGAGTAAATATGCCAGTTGCGGAAAATACGCTTTTTACGTTAGAAATGAGAGCGATTGAGAATGTTAAAAAGGCTGTGTTTCGTGAACGCGGAGAAAGAACGTGGAAAAAGTATCCGCGTATTGCGACATGTTTTCCTTCCTCTGCTCCTCCCTTTGAAGTATGCGTGCGAACGAGGTGCGTCGACTATATAATTAGATAGAGCGAGTTTTAAGGGCGCGTTCCAAAATTTTGATGTACAAGGAATTTACAAAGCGAATTTAGTTGGAATTCAGATAATTAAGAGTAAAGAAGAGATGAAGAAAAATCGGAATAAGAAAATGAGAATATTTTTTATCTGAGATTATTTAAACACTTTAGGGGAATGAAATAATTTTTATTTTAACCATTATAGTTTCTTTTAATTATTCTTTTTAATTAGATAATTTTTAATTGTCAAATATTACTTCGAATTTTGGAAGAATACTTGTTTAGAATTAACTCAAGTAATAGTTTCTTTTTATTTCGCTGTGAAACTGAATTAATATATTGATATTTTAATTTAATTAATAATTAAATATATTTAACAGGTGAAATTAAATCTTTCTAATCTCAATTTGTCAATCAAGTATATGCTTATAAATTTTTTTTTATTTATATAGGAATAGTATATAAGGATTTCACGCGTGAAATTAATTGAATTGATTGCATTAAGCGATCGATTACGAAAGCAGTAGAGAGGAAATTCATTACAAGTATATTAATTGAGCCTCCTATTTCCCAAGTGGTGCAAGTCAAATTTCTCAATTATTGGGAAACGTTTGCGTTCTAGCTTGTGGAAAAATCAAGATAAAAACAAGGGAATAACTTTCTTTCACTTTTACTGTATGAAAAAATAATTAAATTTTCATATTTAAAAAAAATCTAATTTATAATTTTTTAAAATTGCTTTTCTGCAATGTTCTGCAATGTCATACCACTCGCGTGGGACTTACACCACTATTTCCCAACTGCCAATCCGTTATCGTTAACACTTTCAATTTTGTACTGCTCTTAGCGGCTTATTTATGAAATTAGACTTGCAAAACTTTTTCACTCGATGCAAACAACCCTTCTGAACATATTTTTTTTTGGTGTTAGTTCCAAATCGCAAATTTTTGACTTGCACCACTTGACAAATAGGAGGCTCAAATAATAGAGGAATTAAACTTGAAAAAATTTGATTACACGACAACAGTGATTTATTCCGTATTTAAGACAGGATTTTGGAATGCGATCCAAATTCGGCGATCTTGAAAAAAGAAAGAAAGTTTCTTTTATACATTCTAGGTACAAAACTCATTCTTCCAGATAATCGTTCGCACGTTATTTCTACGACGAAATATCCTGTCGAGATAGCTCGTATAGTACGAACGACAGAGAGATTCTATAGACAGCTGTTTATCTTATCGTGAAATGAGCTAGTGAAGCTGGAGCTCGCTGTTCCGATTAGTCGTTAACGAATTTTAGAGCTGTGCTGTTGATGAATTTGCGTTTCCGTTCGTTTTCATCGGACACTCATCACTCTTCCTTCAGCGCAAGAGTTTAATAATCTCAATGGACTCGTAGACTTTTGCGTTGTTGGATGATCATATTTGCTATTCATATGTACGACTGTCTGAGCGAACGAGCGCGAATCTAGGTACAAATATTTATAAATAAGATATACAGTCACCTGCTCTATTTTTCGATCTAGTAGGAGTCAATCGGAGAGAATCGAACGTCGTAGCTCGAGCGCTTCTCGATTCTCATTATGTATACAGATTATTTTTTGCGGATGAAGAAGCGATAGATCGTTGCAGCAACGAAATCGACGGGAATCAAAAGCCACGTATAAGCAACATATGAAGTTATATAAGGAGATAATTTGATTGTGTATTGCGCGCGAACGTATATTTGTCTTGTCTTTTCTCTTCTCTGAGAGAATTTTGTGTGTGCAAGGAATGAAGAGGAATACATCATGATATGTAAATATATATATATATATATATATATATATTTGCACATATATAAAATATTTCGAAGAAAGATTGTATAAATGTGAAGGAGATTGTATGTACATGTATATCGACTGTGTACGACATAAATTAATTTATACAGGCTGAAACACATGGGTTTCTGCTTGGCCGCGCAGAACCTGAGAGGCGTACATATACATACATTCGCTAATAAAAGATTATCCCTTTTTATATAAATTCGTACATTAAATCTATCTTATTATAATTAATGTAAAATTGAAAATTTCAGGTATCTTGAATCATAAAAGAATTGTTCAGCTTTCGATTTATTACATTACTTTATTTACTAATTTTTAGATTACATTTTCTTTCAGATTATAAATCAACATCATTTTTCTTTTTTATTGTAAATAATCTTTCCGACAGTAGAGAAATGCACGCAGATAAATGTATACGAGTAAAAACATCGTAAGCAAATAGTTTCACAAAAACAATTCATTGCTAATCGCTAATAGGATCTTCCACACGCAGACAATTCCAGCTGCGCGGCAGGAATAGGTCCACGTAGTAATTGGGGTGAGGTGCGCAGTTAAGTCGAGCGTAGTACTCCATCGAGTACGTGCTGAACATAAGAGCCATGCATACGCAGATGCATATCCAAAAGAAAATGTTGCTGTTGACGTACCTCTTGGCGAAAGTGTAAGAGCAGCCAAAGCCCAAGAACATAATGAAATATGTTGGACAGTAAAAGCGACACGCAAACCCCACGATATAATCGTGAACGATTGAGGAGAGGAAGAACACGATGAATATTGACAGCGATCTATTGCGTGGCGCGATTTTATACATTTCTTTATAGACATATGTATAGAGCCAGTCATGTACCACCACGTTCCATCTGGGGAACATAACACTGAAATTCGTGGAATTCCACCAATCCTGAAATAATAATGGTAACAATGGCTTTAAATTTGTTTTAACTTGCAAGCCGACAGTTTTACTTTCAAAATTATATCCTAGAATTGTTTTATTTTTGGAAGATTATTTGGAAGATTTTTATAATTATTTTTTCTCATTAATTCACATATTGTAATTATTTTTAAGATAACATATAATTATTTGCCATTAAAAAAAAAGATATTTAAATATGTAATACAATTGAAGGGATAATTCGGAGATTATGAAACTTACTTTATAAAACAATCGATCAGCAAATCGCAATATTTCCGCCCAACCATTCATCCATGCGTGCAGCAGAAGATAGTTTCCGGAGATTAATATGAAAAGGCAGGGAATAATCGCATCGAGAGTGCTCTTGATGTACCATTTTTGTTCCAAGTCTCGCGTACCAAAAACATTAAAAACCGGTATGACAAAGCGCTCCACAATGAAGGCTTGATAAAAGATGACTATACCGACTTGAGCGAAATGCTTTAATTACCACCATCCATCTGATCCTTTTTTGTTTCTGTAAATTACATTTTTAATCTAATTTTTTTTAATTTTTTTAATCTATGGATTCTTACCGCATGTTCTATTTCTCTCTTTCATTCAATCTTTTATATTAATTGTGTTAATTTTTTTATGACGTAAATTTTACAATTATTTTAGTACAACTAAATTAAAAATTAAAATTATTGTAGATTAAGAGTTCTTCGAGGCTAAACTTTTCGACCTTTCGATCGAATAACATTTTTTATAGCTTAAGGAATGCGAAGAATCTTTACCTTGGATAATTATCGCGGTACACAAGAGTTGGCGCGAACAAGAAGTACACGTAATGCGAAAATCCAGAGTTACTTGGCGGTGCAGTTTCATTATGGACTTTATATGATAGGAACTTGGGTGCTGAGCTTCTAACGAAGGCATAATTCTTCATTATCATGCGCCACTGTGAAGAAGCAAATATATATAATTTGGTTTATATGGAAAAATTTTTTAATTGTTATTTTAATATTAATTGCAATATAATTATATTATAT